CCTAAAAGATGTTTCCCGATCCGGGTAGAGGATCAATACAACCTAAACAAAGAACCATAATGTAAATCAGATAAATCTAACAATGAAAGCAAGTAAATGTGATCTAATTCTAAGCTAACCCCACTTTTAAGATCTATCCCCAGCAGAGTCGCCAGTTCTGTAATACGGTGGAAGAACTGACTTGGTGTTTTTGCGTTTGATCGCAATTGTTGCAGATAGAAAGAGTCGCCACCGACTTTTCTTTTATCCAATAAGAAAAGGGTGAAAAGAACATGAAAGACCTTTGAGAATGTTTTCTTGAGTTTGGGGGGGGGGGGGTAGATTATGAAAAGGGGCGGTGTTAGCAGCCTTTTCATCCATAGTTATCTATGGGCTCTTAGTTGCTCGCTAGATCACTTGCTTTGTTTGAAAATGTGTTTGTGGTGGATTTTGAAAGTATTTTTGAAAAGCTCTTTCGTTTAGGAAAACTTTGTAATAATTCTTGTCTCTATAAGAATGTATACAAAGTGTTGGACTTTTGAAAATATTTCATATTTTTGAAAAGTGTTTGGTGTGTTTGAAAAATGTTTTGTTTTTAAGAATAGATTGTGAGCAAGCAACTAAGAACATTCTACCTTACTCAAAAGTCTTTTGTTTATTTCTTCCTTTGATATTGCTATCTTACCATTGATTGGTAAGAAGTCGTATCTTTGGATGTAAAAGGACAGACGTGGGTCAATTGTATAGTCATAGAAGGCAACTTATGAGACGTTTTAACAATTTTCGTTTAGGGACTAGATCGTTTACCGAAGGCAACATTGAGGGACATCGAGGGACTACGATCTTTTTATTGAGGGACTTTTGCTAAAACGCCCATATTCGAGAGACATGACCATTTTCCGAGGCAACAAGTGAGATTACCCTAAATGTGCATGTGTGTGAATAGTGTGTTTAATTTCATGCATTTTTGTCTTGACTTTGAAAGTTATCTATCTGTTGATTTTATTTTGCCACATAGTCTAGTTATTAATAATAAAAATGCAAAGAATAAATCCTAAGCTATTGCAACCATGAAAAACAAAAGAAAAAGGGGAAAAGTGAGTCCTTCGACCCAGGCATTATGCTCTTTCGATTCAGCCTGTTTCAGCTTCTTTCGATTGGGCCTGCAAAATAAAAATTAATGTATCATTCGACCACACCCCTTTTTCTGCTCACTTCGACTGAGCCTGCAAAACAAAAATGAATGTATCCTTCGACCATACCATTTTTTCTGCTTACTTTGACTGGTCCTGCAAAGTAAAATGGATATCTGTTCTTCGACCACACCTCTTTCGTTTTAGATAGCAGCATAGGGCGAAGCCTAAAAGGCTTTGATTCACATAATCTTCTTCTTATTTTCTTCATTTGGGGACTAAGTAGCAGCATGGGGTGAGGCCATGCGAATATTGCTTCATGGCCAGATTAATTCTTAAAGATATGTTTGATAAGTAAAGAAAGCAAACCAAAAGACTTAACAAAGAAAACAAATGAAGAAGGTGAAAATAAAGACAAACAAAAAAAGTAATGATGATGCTTGAAACTAAAAGAGATAAGTATTCACATGTTATGCTTGAACGAAAGGTTAAGGTCAAGAGAACTTACCTTGCTTGAAGCTGGAATGTGGATTTTGGACTTGAGTTATTTCCCTAGGCGCTCTTGGATTCGAAGGGGGAGAAGCAAACATGGTGTTTCTTTGGCTAGATTAGAAAACCAAGAAACGTTAGTTTGTGTTTGTTTATTTCTGGATTTTAAAGAAATAAGTGTTGTGCTTCTTCAAGTTCTGGATTTAGGAGGGTGTTAAGTGTTTGAAAGTTTTTTAGAGTTTTTTATGATTCTTTTACACACGGCAAAAATCCTCTTCAGCCTTCTTCTCATATTTTTTTTCTTCTTTTTTCGCCCTTTTGAAGTGCAAGTGAACTCTCTATTTATATAGAAAATTTTGAATGAACAACTTTGTGAAAGAATAAAATATAGTATTTTTGAAAGATCAACATCCACTTGTGTCAACTTTTTATAATCCCAAGATAAAAGTACTAAAATCAATGGTTGAGATGGGTGGCTCCTAGTTTATAGGGAGAAAGTATGCAGAAGAGGCAGGCATAAGGCTCAAGAACTTTCTTTAAAAGGTAATGATGTCATCAAGAGCAAGTTGGCTTGAAGAACAATTTAATATGAAGTGAGGCACAAGTTGGAGGACTATAGACAACTTGACTCTTTGAATCGAATCCTTCATTTTTTCATAGCCTTCAACCAGACTTAATCAAAACAGCATTTATTTCCACCAATTGTGTACCATTCGAATGGGCCACCTTCAGCTGAATATGCCGTTGAGTCTTCTTGCTTTTGATCACTTAAGCTCAACCTTTCTACCAGACCCAGAAGTAAACAAAACCAAATATTTCTCAACCATGGCAAGTCCTTCGAATGTGCCACCAAGTTATGTATCATAATGCATCGCTATGTGTGTTGAAGGGCCTGCAGATGAATTCGAAAGTGATTCAAGACAATCTTGAAAGGTGGATTCGAAAGTGATATGAAGATGACTCCAAACAATCCTGAAGGTGGATTCGAAACCAATATGTAGGTGTATTCGAAGCAATTTAAAGGGGAATCGTTGCTTTATGGGTGCTAACATGAGAGAAACTCTTGTCTTGTACATACAAGTTTGTAGGAGGATTTGAAGGTTTACATGAAAATAGATTTAAAACAAACTTGAAGATTGATTCGAAGTCAGGCGTATTCGAAGGAGACATGCAGGTGACAATGCCTTATGCACGCTAACATGAGAAAAAACTCATGCCTTGTGAATCAAAGCAAACACGTACGAAGTCAATGGTGCAATCGAAACCAACATGTGAGAGGTCCATTCTTTGTGTCAATGGAAAACCTTCAGAAGGCCATTGCCCTGAATCGAAGAAAGATTTCAGAAGATCATCTTTTTCTGAATCAAAGGAAGATTCTTCAGAAGAAAGCTAATATGAAGGTCATAATGCCCAGTCGAAGCTAGTATGCAGAAGACAAATGCTTTATGAGGCAAACATTCAGGAGGCCATTGCTCTCTGAATCGAAGCTTGCACACAGGGGTCATTTCAGTGAATCAAAGAAAACCTGCAGGAGGTCATTGCTCCTTGAGTTTAAAGCTTACATGCAAGAGGCCTCATGTTCAGTCGAAGCGTGTGAATCAAGGTTGCGTCGAAGAAGCCATAATATTCAGTCGAAGGATGAATGAGTCGAAGCAAGCTTACTTTTTTTCAATTTTGTCAAAAATCATTTTTTTATCTGTTTTGCCCTTTTTGTCTGCTTTGTACTTGTGCAAATTTTGAGCTTTTGAAAATCCTTGTGAGAAAATGCCTTATGAAATGAGAGGGAAAATTTTGGACTACAATATATGGGTTGTTTGGATACATTTCAGAGAGGAAATGATGATGGAAATATGAATGAGGATTGAATTTGTTGCTATGTTATCTTTTGTTTCATTATTTGGTTTATGTAACTTTAAGGCATATCTTATGTTTTGCTTAAGTTTTGATTATGTATGGTTACTTTGGCTTCATATTTGATCATATATATTTGATTTTATGAATGAATGTGTATGGATGAATGCATGCTAGTGTGTATGGATTACCATTCTTCCAACCATTTCCCTTCTTTTTTGATAATTTCAAAAGGGGGGAGAAGGATGTATGTTGTGTTTCTATTTGTCTCAAATTAAGAGATATTCAAAAAGCTTTTAGAACATAGAATTCAATTGTTCAACAATCAAGGAGGAGCATACAAAGCTTCGAGGACATATAATTTAACGATTTAACAATAAGGGGGAGCATACAACTTAGGAGAGCTTTATCTTTAGTATAACACTCTAAATTTCTCTGCATAAATAATTAAAAATTCAGAGTAAATTAAAGCAATTCAAACATTTAAGATGTCATTTTCAATCACTAAACAAGCCCACGATGCAAAACCTACAAGGACCCTCCCATAACACGCGGATCAAACCAGTTCCAATCAAAACATCCAATTTCTCTGTTGAAGTTGTCCGATTTACCACCAGGATTTGATTTTTCTGCCAGCTAAAATTGCTTCGAGTTTGGGGAATATTGTTGGAGTGTACCCTCAAGTCTTTACTCACTAGGAAAGAGTTAGTGGAAGATATTGTTCTCGATGTCAAGGAGGTTTATTCAGAGGTTACTATTGATGGTAAGAAATTCAACTTAGCTAATGATGAGGTTGCTCTTGTGAAAGATTTGGGAAAGTGACATTTAGTATCAAGGCTCATCTGGGTTATCTTTCGAAAACAGGTGACTATGCTCTTGGTTATGACTTCTGGGAGGCTAATCGCGGTGATAGTGAGATTGAACTGAAGGAGCACATAGCCTGGTGAAAAGACGTGTGGAGCTCACTAATGAGGGGCTCGGTATATCATTTGAATATATAATTTGTTTGAACATTTATCCTAGAGGAAGATGAGGAGTTTAAAATGATTTCATTTTAAGAAGCTACCTCAAGCAAAAATAGCTACTTCAAAAGATTTTGGGCTTCAGTGGCGAGTGAACTCAGGAAATGCACTTATGCAGCATGAGCACAAACTCACTCAGAACTTCAAAAAAATTATGATTGCCATAGGTACCAAATGGAAACAAAAAAAAAACTCTAAATGATAGGAAATTAAGATCCAGCAAAACAATATTCTAGCATCTAAGATTCAAGTGCGCAATAGATTTTTTTACTGCACCATATAGCTAAGGTATCCATTAAATCAAAATCCTCATTAGCTCTAGAAAAAAAATGAAAACATGCCTTTTTTAAGACATGGGTATTCAAAATAACATGTAATGCTTAAATACTTGCAACTGAGTATAATAATTTCTTAAAACAGTCTGAAACTACAAAATTTGGGAGGTGGGTCTTTTGACAACATTGAATGCAACAAGAGTCAAACCATATGTTTAGCTAATTAAAAACTTCAAAGCAATCAAACATTTTTAAGCAACAGGAACTGGGACAGGGACCTCAATATCATTTGCCACGACAGCAGCAGGTCGAACATACTCTTCCTCTTCCTTTGGAGTGTGAATGGTGACAATATCAGGGAGGGGAGTCTTGGGACCTTGTTTACCTTTAGGATCCCAATCAAGCATGATCTTTACCTTGATACCGAGAACACCCTGAAACACGATAAGGAAAAAAAATGTCAATAATATATATAAATCCACAACCAATAGAACGATAACTTCAAATGCTGTCGGCACAAGAAAACTAATCAAGCATATAGATCATAGGCAAACCTGTCTAAGGAGCACATGTCTCACTGCAGAGTCAATGTAATCCTTGACTGGCTGTCCAGAAGAAATCATGTACCCATCCTTGAACTTCATGGATTTGGCTCTTTGGGCTCTTAATTTTCCACTGACAATGACCTGCTCAAGCAAAACAACAATTACAACCAATAGTAATTACAGAAAGTAACATGACATACTGGAGTTCAGAGTTGTTTATGTATCACAAACCTCGCAACCCTTGGCACCACTCTCCATGACGAACCTCAAAACACCATAGCAAGCCCTGAAACAAATAGATGAAGATACAGTCTATTATGTTGGCACAAACACACACAGAAAGTATTCGAGGAAATAAAAAGGCAAAATTTCAAATCACCCATTAAAACCGCATATGTAATATATTCTGTACATACCTGCGGACAGCAAGACCACCAAGGAGCTTGTAACGAAGAGACTCGGCCTGAGCAATGGCACAAAGTCCTCTGTTGTTAACCTTCTCAGCATAAAGCTCCACACTGTTCTCCGGAAACTTAAACCTCTTCTGTACCACTGAGGTTAGTTCTCTAATCCTCCTTCCCTTCTCACCTAAAGGTAATAAATATCCAAAATCAAACAAAAAAACAAGATTAAAAACCCAATATATAACAGAAGATTAAAACCCAATATAAAACAAAAATCATGTCATATATAACATAAAACAGAAATCAGATATCCATTTATAACATTATCATATAACATTACATAATACCAAAAATAAAAATTTATAATCATACATATATTCAGATTCAGATTCAACCAACAAAGTAAAAATTCGAAGATTGACAAAATCACTTACCGAGAACAGCTTGGGTGCGAGTAGCTCTGATGATGATTTCAGTGCGCATCGGGGTAACCCTAACCTCAACACCTGAATAACCATCCTCGGCCAACTCTCTGGTCAAAACTTCATTCAATTCAGCGAAAAAAACTCCGTCTGCGACGAACTGCAACACAAATCAAATCAAATTAAGAATTAACAACAGAGATAAACTCGAATACCATTGACGAATCTCGGCACTAACTTTTCGCTTTTTGCTCATTTGTGTTGCCATGATTGAGAAACGGAAGAAAACTGCAATCCGCAGCTGTGGAAAGGGGGGAGGGGCACAAATGAAGAACTACCGCAAAAACCCTAGTGTTTGATGAGGGATGAAAATTGTTAAGGATGGAATTTATATGGGGTTATTGAATGGCTTGATCAATCCAACGGTGGTTATAGCTTTAGTTTAATTTATGATTAAAAATTATTTTATTCTTTTTAGGTTAAATTACTTTGTTATAAAAAAGTTTTTTAATTAAATATTTTATAATTAAGATCCTCCTAGATTTTTTATTATGATTTTAATTCTTAATTGTATTTCACACCCTTAAGATCCTATATGTTGGATAAGCTCGTTTGAGGTCTTCATCGAGATTGTGATTTTTTATGAGTTTAGGTTAGGTATAAGATATCAGTGATAAAATATTTCTTAATATGAAAAGAAAATTGGGATCAGTTATTTGGAATGCAATTTCGAAAGCTCTCTCGACTCTTAGAGATGGATTTGAATTTAGATAGAGGGATGAAAACTCTTATTTATGGTTTTTCAATTGGTATGGGGTAGGGAAATAAGCGGACCAAGTTCTCTATATGGACATCCACGATGGAAATGCGAGTGTGGTGTTTACTTGGATAAAAATTGGAACTTCAATTAATTATATATTAATATTCCTCTAGTTGTTTGTGACCGCCAAGCACTTTCTATTTGTTTGAATTTGTTGGTGCTTGGTCGGTTAACCTGAAAAGGTAATTTATATGGTACTTATACTGCTTGGGATGGTTATAATTGGCTCGATAGACTTGAATTTGTTCATAATACAACCGACAATAAATTTAGGAAGAGGTGTGGCACATTCTTGCTCATAAGAAGTTGAAATTCTTCCTTTATACGATTTTGTATAAGTCTTTTCCTACAAGATCAATGTTGTGTCATCGTTGTATGCTCTAGACGAATTTTCTTCTATATGCAATCAGGACGTTGGAACGACTCCACACTACTTGAGAGGCTGTGAATTTGCTACTCCATTTTAGAAATTTATTGGCTTCTTGGACCCACTATTCTTCTAAGGGGATAATTTATATGATTGGATTAGATATGGCATTGATAGTGACTCTATCTTTTTGTCTACTTGTTGGTGGTTGTGGTATATTCATATACTTTGAAACTCATCACAGTCAATTATGCTAGCATGATAGCAAAATGTTTTCTCAAGCATAATGTGTCTCGTCTAATAAGAATGATCATGTGGAATGCATACAAAGGTGGGAATATGATTTTGAATGTTGATGGCAGTAGCCTCAATAATCTTGTCGTCTTAGGTTTTAGTGGATTGATTTGAAATGCTGATGGTGTTTGGGTTCACTATTTTGCGAGTAATATTGGTTCTTCCAACATCCTTCATGATGAGATGATGGTGATATATCATAGTTTATGTATGGTATGAGAAATTGATATTGGGCGCGCATGCACACACTAAACATAATGTCAGACCTAGATGCATTAAGCTATCAGAGAGATCCAATCATACCTCTATACCTTTTGATGTCAACACCTTTACCGTTTTCATCTTTTTCCAAGTTTTCGTTTACAAGCATTAGAGTGTCAATTGACTTTGTATCTACCATTCTGAAGCGTTTAAGCAACTCTTGGTAGTACTTTGTTTGACACATAAACATCCCTTATTTGAGTTGTTTGATTTGAAGTTCGAGAAAGTAATTTAACTCTCCTATTAGACTCGTCTCATATTCTCCCCGCATTAACTTCTAAAACTCTTTGACTAGTTACATGTTAGTAGAACCAAATATGATATCATCAACATAAATTTGAACGAGTAGAATATGTTTTCCTTGACGTATAATTAAAAGTGTTATGTAAAAATTCCTTCTAGAATATCCTTGATCAAGTAAGAACTTGTTAAGTCACTCATACCAAATCCTAGGGACTTGTTTAAGACCGTACAAAGCTCGTTTTAGTTTAAAGACATGATTAACATACTCATGATTTTCGAAATCGGGAGGTTGTGAAACATACACTTATTCACTTATGTAACTGTTAAGGAAATTACTTTTCACATTCATTTGAAATAATTTGAAATCCTTGGAACATGCAAATGTTAGTAAAAGGCGTATGGCTTCGAGGCAGACAATCGGAGCATAAGTTTCCTCATAGTTTATGCCCTCCTCTTAGTTATATCCTTAAGCCACTAGTCGGGCTTTTTTCCTTGTTATCACTTTGTTTTGTCCAATTTATTTCTAAAAGCCTATTTAGTGCCTATAACTCGATGATCTCACGGAGGCGGGACAAGGTCCCACACATCATTTCTTTTAAATTGATTTAACTCATCTTGGATGGCCATAAGCCAATGCTCATCAAGTAGGTCCTCTTTTGCATTTTTAGGTTTAATTTGAGACACGAATGCAAAGTGATAACATAAATTACTTATCTTAGAGTGTGTAGTTATGCCTTTGGTGATGTCTTCGAGATTGTTGTCCATTGGATGGTCCTTCGAAGATCTTCAGGCCAAGGGTAGATCATCTATTTTAGTTGGATTCTCATCCTTCTCCTTTTCAGAGTCATCATCTTCCTCCTCCTTAGGTTTCATCGCTTCAGGTTGGTCAATTTCTTATTTAGTATATTTGAGTATGTCTTGTAAATATACACTTGCATCATGAAAAGAAATATATTTCCCAACATTTCTCAGATAAGATTATCAAAAGTAACATGCACAGATTTTTCAATAGTAAGTAATATCTTATTATATACTCTATAGGCTTTGCTTGATTGAGAATATCCAAGGAAGATACATTCATCAAGTTTCATATCAAATTTTCCAAGGTTATCCTTATTATTGTTTAAAATAAAACACTTGCATCTGAAGACATCAAGATGTGATAAATTTGGTTTTCTACCTTTAAGAAATTCATAAGGAGTTTTGTTTAAAATAGAATGTATAAGTATCATATTTAAAGCATAACATGCCATGCTTATCGCATCGGCCCAAAAATATTTTGGTTGACCACCTTCATTGATCATAGTTCTTGCCAACTCCTATAAAACTTTGTTTTTGTACTCCACAACACCATTTTGTCGTAGAGTTCTTGGAGCGGAAAAATCATGTTCAATGTCATGTTTATCATAATATTCCTCAAAGAGGTGGTTTTCAAATTCACCTCCATGATAGCTTCGAATAGCAAAAATCTTTGAATTTATTTTATTTTAGGACAACTTTTCAAAACTAGTGAAAGCCGAAAAGGTGTCATCTTTACTACGCAAAAAGATGGTCCAACAAAATCTAGAATAATCTTCTACAATAACAAAACCATGGTAATTACCACCCAAGATTTTAATCCTTGAGGGACCAAAAATATCCATATGGAGAAGCTCAAGAGGTCTAGAAGTTAAAACAATATTTTTAGATTTAAAAGATACTCTCGTTTACTTTCCCATTTGGCATACATCTCATAAGTGATCTTTTGAAAATTTAATTTTTGGTAGACCAATAACTAGATCTTTTGAGACCATTTTGTTTAGTAAATTAAAGTTGACATGTGTTAAGCGTCTATACCATAACCAAGAGTCTTCATTAATGGTTACTAAACACTTAGTGCTTGTCAATGATACATCATTTAAGTTAAACATATAAATATTATTTACCCTCGAGCCCTTAAACAAATCATATTTCTTTTCATTATGATCAACCGTGCAACACTCACTTGTAAAAGTTATTTTGTATCCTTTATCACATAGTTGACTAATGCTAAGTAGATTATGTTTAAGATCTTCCACAAGTATAATGTCATTGATAGTGGTAGACGAGAGATTATTTACACTATTTTTTCCAGGTATAACACCCTTGTTATTGTCTCCATAAGTTACATATCGTTTATTCTTTGCCACAAAGTCAATGAGTAAGGAGATGTCACCAGTCATATGCCTTGAGCATCCACTATCAAGAAACACATTCTCTCCATGGATCCAAGACATTTAACCTACAATATCAAACAAGAGTGTTAGGTACCCAATTTTCATTGGATCCTTGAGAGTAATTTCCTACTATATTGCACATAGACAACCATTAAAAAACACCTTTAGGAACAAGAAATCTCCTAAATTTACATTTTTGCAATGGTATGACCTTTCTTGCAATAATAGTGAGAAGTCAAATGATAATGAGAGATACTTTTGTTATTTGATTATTTTTCAACAAACTTATACTTTTTGTAAGGTGTGTTTAAAGATATTTTAAATTTTTTTTGAATCAATAGCATAAGTGACTTTTGATTCTAAAGCCTTGTTTAATTTGGCCTTTAGAGTAATAATTTCTTTTTGCTAAATATAACAAGTTTCACAACCAAACCAAGAAGGCTCTTCATCATCCTTTTTATTTTTGAAATATCTAAAATGGATTGTTTAAGAGCTTCCATTTGTTTTTAAGTTTCTAAAACTTTAGGTTTCATGTATGAAAATATTCTTTTATTTGAATTTAACCTCTTAAAAGCATTTATGGCTTCACCATATAGATTTTCAAAATTAATTTGCAATTCGAAATAAGACATATTATCAATAGGTTCATGTTTAAAATGACTTACTTTCTTTTTATTTTGATGGACCATGAGGCAAAAGTTTGTCGTTTCATCGCTATCACTTGAGTTATCTTCACTTGAGGATTCACTATCATTTTCCCAAGTAATGTATGCTCTTCTAGACTTTCTATACTTCTTGTATTGACCTTTTTATTTATCTTTCTTAAGAAATAGACAATCTGGTTTGTAGAAATCGACCTTTCCACAATTATAACATGAACTTTTTGATTTTTATTTCTTATTCTCATCTTGCCTTGAGGAATTCAATTGTCTTTTAAAATTGATGATACTTTTGTCGGAATGCTTCACTTTATTCCTTTTAATGTACTTATTGTACCTTTTAATAAACACCCTCATTTCTTCATCATTTGAACAATCATCATCACTAGATCCACTGTCATCTTGCTCTTTGGTTGAGGACTTAGAGAT